ATCTTCCCAGGGGTTCAGCCCTGGGGGAAGGCAAAAAAATTGGGTAGGCAAGCTATTGGTGTGTACCACCTTTTCCCATGCTTTAAACTTAACTTAATGTCCCAGGGATAAGATGCTGTGTTGAAACTTTCCACTAACCTCTTTTTAGAAGACGAAATCCCAAGGTCTCCTGCCTGTTCTGTAAGTGTTACATCTCCAGCCCTATCCCCTGGTTTTGTTTTTCTTTCATGTGTATCTCAGGCTCTCATAAAAGGAATTATGTTGTCCATTTCCCAGAAGAAAGGTGAAGACTGGGAACATTGAGCTGTACCTGATATATTAAGAAAAAGTACAAGGCTGAGTTATACCGCATTCTCAGTTTGTCCTAATGGTTTTGAGAAGCCGACAAAATTAATGGCAGTTCCCTGCTCTCCAACCACTTATCCTGTCCTCCTGTGACAGTGATTCTTGACCACACCAGACACAAGTGAACGTAAAGGCCCACCAAATAGTACTTCATGCCCACATTAAAATCACAAATCAAAGACCTGTGAATTCATGCCCACATTAAAATCACAAATCAAAGACCTGTTTAGAATTCTAGTGTTATATTTAACCTGAATCTATCCAGTATTTAAGATCTATAAAAGGTCTATTAATGTAATTGATGAAAAATGGTATATGTTTGAGAATAGTGTTGCTGCTGCGAAGTTGAAAAAATGGAATCTTCCTCAGTTTGGTGTAGCTGTATTTTTACCCAAATTTTTAAAAATAGTCTTTTTAGTTGTAGTTGGGAACAATACCTTTATTTCGTTTATTTATTTTTATGTGGTGCTGAGGATCGAACCCAGAGCATCGCACGTGCTAGGCAAGTGCTCTACTGCTGAACCACAACCCTAACCCTTTTACCCAATTATTTATAAAGTTTGTTTTCATTTGTGAAGTTAAAATGATTAAGTGGATTTAAAAAAAATTTTTTCTGTGGGAAAAAAAGGATATCAAGTGAAAACACTCTGGAAAATTAATTTATTCAAAAATACTTTTCTAGTATCTCAGGTGTGTGTGTGTGCATGTGTGTGTGCACGCATGCATGAAGGTATTAGGCATTTTAATTATTTTTAGAATTTTCAGACTCTGGAATGTGAAAACTATCTGATTATTTGCTTTGAAAATTCTGCCTGGGTCCCCTATTCTTGAAGTCTCAAAATGAATGCATTGTTACCTTATAAGCTCTTGTACACAATAGTTTGTAAAGAAGAAAGGCAGGGAACCAGCTTTGCTTAAATGGAATGAACTTTCACAATTGAATCCTTTTTTTGGGTGTGTACTTCCTGAATCCCTAAGATGGCTATGCTCCCAAGGCAATGTGGAAAATCAGGGGATATTGCAACACATCACCCATGGGACTGGATATGTAAGCCAGTATAAAATTGAAGACATCTGTAGGAACAATGAGCAAGCAACTCAACATCTAGTGCCCTAACACAAGCGAAACACCCAGGTCCTTTTTGGCAAACTCTTGTCTGATCTGTACCTACTGGTTAAGAGATGATGTCAAGGAGGAAGGCCTAAACTAGTCAGATTAACCAAACATAGGAAACTGATCAAGGTTTTTCCCGTTTTGTCACTTACTTAAGAATAGATTTTAGTTGACTGCTTCAAGCCATGTGGGTAAATTTAGTTCTCTTATTAGTGGTTTGATTTATTGAGATCTGTAAAAAAAATTTTTTAATTATTTGAATGTACAGACTCAGTAGAATAACTGAATATTTGGGGGAAAGTTTAGTCTACTATGAAAAAAAATTGTAAAATCAGTAGATGGAGATCTCTAACAAAAGAACTCTGGCCCATAATCAGACAATTTTACAGATAATTCTAGGTCTGCTACTAATGTTCATGAACAAATCATGTCAACTCTCTGAACAGTTTCTTGCTCTTAAAAATAAAAGGGAAAGAGGGCTGGGGTTGTGGCTCAGCAGCAGAGCGCTCGCCTAGCATGTGCGAGGCCCTGGCTTTGATCCTTAGCACCACATCAAAATAAATAAATAAAATAAAGGTATTGTGTTCAACTACAAGTAAAAAATAAAATATATTTTAAAAAAGTAAAAGGGAAAGAGATGAACTATGTGGTCTCAAACTCTGATTCTGCCCTGTCTAAACATGAAAGAAAATTTCATGATCTCTAGTTACAAAAAAGGCAAGATAACACCTTCAAAACCATAGAGAGATTTCTCAATCTTTTATTTTATTTGTTTATTTATATGTGGTGCTGAGGATCAAACCCAGGGCCTCATACGTGCAAGGCAAGTTCTACCACTCAGCCTCAACTCTAGTCCCTCAATCTTTTTGTTTATTAATTATATGACATTTAAGATATGTAAAAAATGAAAGGAATCAGACAGTGGTTATATTGTTATATAAACTGTTAGGCAGAGAAGGGGGTTTGAATACACATATATAATGTCAATCCTTCCTGAACTCCAATTAAGCTACATACACATAGAGGGATTTTTAATTGAAGGCATAAACCTACAATGACAAGGGAGGGTTGTCTTCCCAATTGAAGAGTGAAAACCTACATTAAAATTGCATGTAACAGACACTTCCTAACTGATTTCTGCTTTTAACATCCAGGCTTATTTTGTATTTTGTTTCACATGCCAATGAGAATCCATCACGACAGCAGTTTTGAAGCTGGAATGCAGGCACATGTATGGGAACTGACTTTGTGAACCTGAGAGAGCCGAATTCTAACTGGACACTGGGGAAACATGAGCATCCACTGGGCTTGTACCACACACTCCTCAAAAACAGTGGCATCAAGGATGCAGGGATATCAGGGAA